CAAAAACATATGCATCATTCAAGTACGCTGTTTGTCAAAAACTTTTATTGCGTACATCTGGAGGGCCTGAATTCAGGAGGATCCGTAGATCCACCACTACACTCCCTGCACCTCATTATTCAGAAGCTGTTCTCCTAAATGTGATAATTATATGCTTTCCCATTCTCTAAGCAGCACAAATATACAAACCATGCTGCTTCTGTTTGTCTTCCTTGTAATTTTTCCTTTATTTCCTCAAAATGTAAGCTACTTTGTTATAGATCAGCTATATTACTCTATTAAGCAGTTGTCTTCGCAATTTAAGAGTCCATTACTCTAAAGGATCACTCAGAAAATGTGATGCACCTTTTTGGCAACGAACGCACATCTGGGCTTCCATCTGTGGATTAAAAAAAAAGTGTAGGTGTGCGTGCATGTATGTAAGCTTGTGCATAAAAGTGTGCTAGTGTGTATGTGTGCTGGCACGCCAAAGAACCATTGTGCAGCAGCAACCACAGACCCCCCCCCCTCCCCCATCCCCCACCCACCACAACAAAGAGCAATTAAACGCCGCTGCCTTGCCAGCTGAGGAGCCAACCGCCGGCCACACTTCCACAAACAGGCAGATCTGTTTAAAACCAAAAGGGGAGAAGCAATAAAAGCCAACCTACCAAGAGCAAGCCCCTTACCGTCCTATTCCTCGATTCAAACCAGAGGTTGGCTGGCTGGCTGACTTCACCCTTACTATCACCGTTCAGGTCCAATTACAATCAGATGTGCCGTTTCATTTGATAGACTCTCATTTCGATGCGATGTCAACAATGTTTAGTGTGTAAGCAGAAAATTTACCTTGATCAGAAATGAATTTGAACAAATGAAATGCCATTATAGTTTGTTTGTTTTTTTTGCTTACAGGGCTTAAAGCTGGAAAAGTTAGCTCAGTTGGACAATGTTCTTGAAAATGTCAGACAATGACAGCCCTCTACCAAAAAGGATGTGTACCTGATGTCATACTGTTTGTTTGACCTCTTAAAGATCACTATTCAGGTTAGATTACCATAATTTAATTTGAAAAAACAAACAAACAAAAAAACAAAGACAGATGCAAAGTTACACAATCTTAAGATGCAAAAATGGTGCATTCCACAGTTTTAAACAAGTTAGACACATTTAATGTTTATGAGCAATAGAAGCAACATGATTTGAATTTCACTTGATTGTGAACTGAACTTTGACAGATTAAATGCCACTTTAGGTTTTTTTGGCGTGTGCTGGGCTTTAAACTGGAAAAAATGAGCTCAGATGGACAATGTTCCTTCAGCTTCTGTTGATGTCAGACAATGACAGACTTCTGCCAAACAGGATGTGTACACGGAGTCGTACTGTTTGTTTGACCTGCCAAAGATCTCGTTAAGGATTACAGCCCTTTGGTAACCACATTAAAACAGTAAAAATGGCAGCAAAAAGTTCACTGGCTGCTTGTGTTCTCTCATTTTTTGGCGTCAGACACCTACCGGGGACTGCATAATCTGTCTGTGTTGTCCCTTATGTAGTAGTTACTTACATGTTCCTTGCATATTAAGAGATGGAATCAGACCTTTTATAAACTTTTGACCAGGTTAAGATAATGCATCTTGAATAGTGGAATTTTTTTAAACTGTGCTCAATATAATCCACTCATTGTTTACTCTAGAAAACAGAAGTATGGCTTTTTTTTTTACATTGTTTTAGATTTGATAGGATATAGAATGGAGATTTTTAATATGCTTTAGATTTTAGATTTGCATTGCAATTTTGAGAAGAAGGGACCTAGATTTGAGTCTTCATCTTTCAGATAGTAAGACAATCACCAACGCCATAGTAAACAACTGTTAAAATTTATTTTTGTCTTTATTTTTTTTCTCTCTCGGCTTGGGCAATTAATTCTGGGTAAGTATAAATAACATTTAGTCAATTGCAACGTTACCACTGTGAACTTAGTATAAATCATTTTTATATTTTTGTAATAAACCATGACAAAAAATGTTAGTCTTAAAGCTACAGTACATCATAATTATAGGGTTTTACTGACCGAAATGTAAAATATCATTCATAATTATGTAATTTATTATCATCTACAAACTGAAAGTATCAATCTTTTTGTTTATGATGCATTAGAAATTTCTATAGGAGGATGCCTCACATTTATGGAGGCAGACATCTTTGCTATACGGCTGCTCAGACTTTACAAAGTAGCGACTGTAGAGATTCCCATAACAAAAGAATTTGACCATGGCAAGTTAGGCTTATATAAAATCTACATGCAACACAGAAAAATGAAATACTATTATAAAAATATCAATGTAAACTAACCTTGACAATACTTGAAAAGATATGTGATATGGACATTGTAGAAGCCATTTTGTACCATGATAGCATCCGTATTGCTGGAGGGGGAGAAGCACTAGGTGGAGCAGTTCATGTCACTGCAGGTTGACCATTAGATGCTGCTGAAAATAGCACACTGTAGCTTTAAAGGGTTAGTGCATTTTTAAAGAATGCTTTGTGAAGTTATTATCTGTAATATTTCAGTTACCTGTTGCAGAAATAAGACATGCTTTCATTTTTTTTTCAGCATTTTATTGTCATTATACTGTCACAGGTACAGAGCAACAAAACTAACTCTCTGCATTTAACCCATCCCCTTAAGTCTGATTTATACTCAGAAACCAGGTCATCTGCATGTGTGTAGCAGTGAACGCAAATGTGCCTCCGCCGCTTCCACAGACAGTCTTGTGCACCTCTCCGAAATTGGAGGTGACTGCAGACAGAAGGCATCTGATTGGTCAAATCTATATCTGCTCTATAATAACAATATTTCCTGTTTGGTACCTTACCGGCTTGTTTTGTTTGTATGACCGCCATTGTGGAACACAACTCGTGAAGTTAGACCAGCTAAAATTACGAGGTGTGCAAGACCACTGAGATCCTTTTTTCCACCTGGATCTCTGCTCGTGAAATGTTAAACTACTATGAGACTTAGAGACACAACTGAACAACTTGCACAACTAAATCCAATAGTTTGACTTGTTCTTGGTAAAGCTCGAGTGGATTGGTGAGTTAGAGTTATTCGGTGGACTAACACAGTAGGCTAAAACAATCTAACTTCCCTTTCCCAACTGAACTTAGCAACCTTATATGACATTCAAGATTTTAGATATTCATTAAGTAGCATAATGACCCTCTGATGAGAACATTTTCACTTTGACATGTTTAAATCATAAAAGAACTGATGCGCATCTGACTAGTTTGTTTACCTTCCTCAACTTCTAAGAAGATTTGATTCCTCTAATCTCACTGTGTCTCATCTCTCTACTACAGGGAATGAGCTTTTGCTAATTATAATTAGAACATTGGTTCAAAATATAATTTTCAAATCTGCAAATTCAGGGTTTGCAAGAACATTTAATTCATTTATATTTAATTCGTTTTTTTATATTTAATTTAGTTTTTTGAGACTGGTTGTTTAAATGACTGGCAACAGCCACCTAATGTAGGCTGGATCTCTCTATGTAAACATGTGTTTTTGTATGTTAATATAGTTTTGATAATTGTTTTACAATGGTTTCAAGATGCTTCGACAAGGACGTCATAATTTGGCGATCAGATGATTAAAAGGAAGACGGGATTCACCTTAAAAATTAAGAGAAAAGGAAATCATCTGTCAAGGCTGTGCTGAACTTTGTTCCAGAGCAGAGGGGGTGCCACAAACCCTTCATTAGTGAAGTAACACATGTCTTACAATAGTATAAGTCTGGAACACAGAACTAAAACTTCTTATGTCAATACATTATCCAATCACTGGCTCTCTGTAGCTCCTCCCGAGCTGCCACGTTCCCCTTTGCAGATTGTCTGATTAATGCCTCTCAATCTAAATGTCATATCTCGGCAGACCTTTAGTTTTACAATTATTTTCTTTTCAGACCTGGTTTCATTAGAATCAAATTTTGTATGTTTTTCATATCCCAACCCATTGTTAACTTGTCCACAGCTTGATCCCTGACCTGTCTACTGCATTCCCTGCCTTTATAATGATGTTAGATTACAAATATCTAGTTTTTTTTTTAAACCTAAACTAAATTAATCAGTTTATATCTACTAACTAATTAGCTGAGGTTAAAATCAACTGGTTAAACATCAGTTTATTAAGGGTTAAATGAGTAAAGGGACTGAATTCGGATGCAGATAACATTTTTCATATTCTTCATTTTAAATGATATTGTGTTGGCCAATTACTATAAAACGTGACGGCAGAGTCAAAACCATTAAAAAAGCATCATGGTAGCAAAACTACACATCAAACAACAAGAAATCCAACAGGATCCAAAAGTTGCTATGTTTATGTTTTCCCAAAGAAAGAATTCTTACATCCCCCTCCCCCTTTTACTTACTAAAAATAGACGTTTTACTAAATTCAATCTCTATTCAAAAAAATGCTTTTAACTAAACAGTCTAAACATCAAAAGAATCCATAACATTTACCCAATGAGGGCTTGTCAGCACTGCATGGTGACACATGGCCAGGGGACCTCAAAAGCAGGGAGAGGATGAGGAGAACAATAATATCTTGAAGTTGAATAATTAAATTGATCACAAGTTTAAAACTTCCCAAAGTACCACATTTGTGAATCGAGTTATTTACCGCATAAGTACAGAAAAACATCACCTGTTAGGAGATTATGTCCTGTGGCATCCTATCTGCATTTCAACTGTGAGATGAACACATAGTCAGCCTTACAGTTGCAATGTTACACAGTGTAAAGAGAAATAAAGGGTAAACATTTATTACATCCACTGTATTTGAGAACATCAATGTGCCAATAAGAACCAATCAATATAGAGAGCCGTGGCTGTCAAAAATAAAACGTACAATAGCTTTCTAGAATTAATCGGTTATGTGTTTTTTTATGTGTTCTTTTCGTATTTCTGAGCTTTTGTTACTTCTTCCAAAGGTTTGCTTGATACTTTATTTCCTCTCTGACCCCAGCAGAGGGCAGGAGCGCAGGGACCTGAAGGAAGAGTATCCTTTCCTTGGCCCAGCCCTTCCCGGCCCACTCTAGCCCGACTCGGCCTGGGTTCAGCGTGGGCCACATCGCGGTGTCTTTGGTCAGGCAGCCTGGAGCCCTTGGGCGCTGGCAAGGGGTGCGGGCGTCCGGGAGGGGCCCCCTCAAAAGCCATCTACGAGGGGCCACACCCACACGACCATTACGGTGTAGGCTGTTCTGGGCTTCTCCCGAGGCCGCCCGCCTGCCATTTTTAGAGCAGCACCACAGTAGACCACATACTGTGGCTTCAGGCAAGTGGGGGGAAGGAAAGGTTTCTTCTTTATTTTCAGTCAAAACGCCAAAGGCTTTGGGAGAATTTCTACAATTGCTCTTCAGTAGAATAAGTCAGGCTAGAGGAACTGTTAATCTCAAAATAATAATAAAAAAAAACTGAAACAGTCAACTTCTCTCAGAGTTAAAGCCCAACTTTTGTCCAGCAGCATGCAAAAGAAATTCAAACTCTCAGTACCTTTAATTGGTCTATTTTGCTTGTGCGGTTTAGTCTTTTTCTCTTGGTAATAAAAGAATAAAAAAAAATAAAATGAAAGCATCAAACTCAACTCCAAGATTTTTTAGAGGCAAGTTACGGTTGTTTTATACAGTCCTGCTCAGTCTCAGGGTTTTTCAGGAGCGTATGTGGGTGAAGCATTGGGTGGTCTAAAGTGGAGAAGACTTGAGCTTCCTCTTGCTCACATATGGTGCGGGTTGGCCTTTTTGTTTTGATTTCAAGGGTTTTAGGTTATAAGAAAGTAAGTCCCCTTTAGGTACAACCTGCTTATTTTACTTACCTATAATGTAATTCTATTTCTGTATATGGTTTCCCCACTTGTTCCACAGTTTGTCCAAATACATTCAGACTTTTTCCACTTTGAGCGGTTGCCACATTTAGGTGTGAACCTTTTGCATCACATCAAGCAAAATAAAGCATTACCTACCTTTGTCTTTATGCTCTTTTTGCCTTTTTGTATCACATACCATCTTATTATTGAGCATAAACCTATAAATCAGGATGGTCAGGAACACTTCACTGCTTTTCCAAACAATCTCTCAGTTGTCAAGGATATCTGATACTCTCAGTCACCCGACTGAAACGCAGAGACAAATGTACTCTTTTGACCCACTTGAAGATCTTATCCGCCTCCTGCAGTGCAATGTGTCTGTGATAAATAAACGATTGTTTCAGCCCTCCAAACCACATCGTTATGACTCAAAAGGATCTAACGTAAAGCTTTGAACAATCGTCTGTTAGAAGCAAAGGAGCTGGAAAAGATGGAGGCTTTGTCTTGTGAGTGGCAGACCACAGAACTGGAGTGGATCTCTGAGGGAGAAGAGAAATGCAATACAGACAGAAAAAAAGAATTGCAGCTTTACTGAAGACATTAACTAGTTTGTATTTTATGAGAAGAAAGATTTCTTACAGATTTATAAGAATGAAAATGAGCTTTGTCTTTAGTTGATAAGGTATAAGTCAGGACAGAGATCAAAAAGTCTGATTAAAATGTCTTAATTAGGATTTTTTTTAAAGTACACACACTAATTTTGAGTAATACATTGTAATAAGGAGGGAAGTTAATTAAATTAAGAGAGCGGAAATCATTTCCAGGGTGTCAGAGACCAGAGCTGACTGATGGTGGCACACACACGACACATGGAACAGATCACACCATGCATGGAGCTGGATTTGCCCGTACAAAATAAAGAAACCCAAAAAAGAAAACCTCAATTTACTCCCTTTAAAAAAAACTTCCTTCTCTTCTGGCAAGGCTCCACCAAGAAGTAATGAGCTTCCACCCAAACCTCAGCAACAGCTGCTGTCAGGGTCTGGGGGCACTGACTAAATAAATCTGAATCAGCGGGGGCAGAAGGAAGGATAGTCTGCTGAAACGACAGGATATAGGTGAGCATAATGTTAGAGATTACAATGTGTGAATAAATGAATACGCATAAGGCAGCAAAAAATAGCAAATGGATGTGACTTTCCTAAAGAGCTATAATGCCCCCACAAACACATTTGCTTCCCTTTAATAGTCGTTTATCTTGCCTTTAGCTTTACCATAGACATTGTTAAAAAAAAAGGTAACACATTAACAAAGATATAAATGTATTTTATATTATCTATAATAAATAAGCAGAAATCAGAAAGAAATAACAGTTCCATGTAAAGTGTGCTGGATTGGATCTCCGATTTAAAATTACAGAAATCAGATCCAGCTAATTAGTCTCTATCGGAGTGGATATCTGATCTAGGTATCGGATTGGTGCATCTCTAGTTAAAAGGCCATGTTTTTAAGACATAAAACTTCCTAATTTACACTGTTGTCAGAAAATGGAGAAAATGACATAGGGTAAAAAGTGAGTGCCCTACTCGCAGTCTACATACGTGTTGGGCGCATTATAAAGGATGGAAGTATATTATGGGGTTTTGATTGAGCGAATAGCTGTACAAGCTAGTACATTTTGCAGTGTTAAAGTAACACTTTAAGAGTTAAATTTAACACCAATCCGAGTGCATTCGGTCCCACTCTCCATTAGTGTTAAATTAACTCTCTACAAAGGGTATATTTTACTCCAGCTGTTGTTGTAATAACTCTAAAAGAGTCAATGTACTTCCACATTGTTAAATACTGCATATTTACCAGTGTGGAATTTAAAATTCAAAATAATTGAAGGTGTTTAATGACATTACTACCTGACAAGAAATACCACTGTAAAGATTATGACCCCATGCTAATTTACGTATGGTGTTATCTGATGCAGTGGTAGTTTGCATCAAACAGTATCTATGAGTGAATTAGCCAGCAGCAACATTTACAGCCTTTATAACTGTTTGTTTCATCAGGATCTACAGTGGCTTCTTCAAGGGAGCATTGTAGCCCAACATTTTTTGTGAGGCAGGATGCAGTGGTGTTGGTTTCTTCTCTCAAGAATGAAAAGAGCAGATGCATAGATGTTTAGATGAGTCTTTTTAAGTCAGCACCTTCAGCCAGCACCGAATGATCCTCTTCTTTAGATGGCAAATAAGACAGGATATGTGCTGGACTGCAGCACTATCATCCTTTTGCAAATGGAACGGAAAGGAGGAACCACTGCAACACCTAGACATCTAAGTACTGTAAAAAAAAACAACTCAGTTTTACCAAAACATGGAACAGTAATGAATGTGGGATAACATTTACTCACCAGCAGGATATTGGTGTAACACAGATTTAGAAAGATCCTATAAAGCACTCTATCTTTTGCACATCAGTGGATGGTCCAGCTCCTCTCAAGAGTTGTTTTTTTAACTCTTACATAACCAAGCCATTTCTCCTGCACCAGACTCGTATTGCTTTTTCCTATCACAGGTATAAGACATAAATGAACAGTTGCATGGCAGGTTGGGGGCATAGCACTTTTTTTTAACTTATATCCAAAAATTTGATTTAAACATTTCAATGGAAATATGTCTCTATAATGATTACTATAATTACAATTTTTTTTATTTTGTTGCCCTCTCCAGACACAGTTATAGCATGCCTTGACCACCCAGTCAGCTAGTGAGAGACAGCACAGCTACATTCTTACTCAAAGACATTTCTAAAACTATTTTCTATATCATGGAAATGATTGAAGCTATAATGGAGCCCTGAAAATGAAACTGCATGGGTAAAACTGTGATAAAATTTATGGAAGGTTTTGAAACTTGAGAGTGGCTAAAGTTTACTGCAACTGAATATTTGGAGAATTTGGGGAGGTAATTTGGAGAATTTTTCCAAGGCAGAGAAGGCAAATATAAAACAAAAAGCTTATGTAAAGACATTACATCAGGAAGGAGTTTGAAATTTATTTTTTAATGACCTGTGTTTATATTCTATTGACAGTTCATCAGGTAAAAATAAAATAGTTGCATTCTTTAAAGATTTGTTTAAATCATAAATTAATTTCTTTTTGTCATGGTTTTGGTTTTGTTCAAGTTTTATTTTGAGTTTTCATTGGTCTTATTTGGATTCTTGTGTTCAATGTATTTTTGATTGTACTGTATTTGAGTTCTTGGATATTTCCTGTTTGCCCTCTTGTGTCAGTCTCCTTTTTCCTAGCTCCCTACTTGCCTCTGTTCACACCTGCTCCCAGTCTGCTAATTAGCCTGGCCTTTGTTTCTCTCTCCCATATAATCTCTTCCTGTTCACTCACTCTTTGCTGGTTTGTTGTCATTTATTTGCCCTCTTGTTTTTGAGTGTTTCTGGCCTTCAGTATTTTTGGATTTTTGTGGATTTATTTTTAGGATTTTTGCTTCTGTTGAACTTTTTGTTAATTAAACTTAAAAAAAACTCCTTCAGCTTCAGTCTGCATTTGGGTCCTGTCAAATATCCACCCCCATTGTGACACTTTTAAAATCTTAAACATTTAATTTGAACACGATAGAGATTAAGCTAGAGATTCTTAGGGAAATAGATAGAGTCAAGCCAGAATACACTAATTCTAGCTTTAAGGACCAGTTGTACAGGAACAGTGAGGTTAAGTTGCTTTGTAATAACTTTATGACAACTAAGTGTACAAAAAGGAACAATAAACCTATGAGGTGGCACATTTCTTTTAGTTTTAAGTATTCTTAAATTGATTTTCATTTTGTTGTTGAACCAGCGTGTGTGAGCAGTATGAGGTATGATAGCCTCAGAACCCATCTCGGTGAGTTTAACTTCATGTGTTTTTGGTAGCAGGCCACAGTGGTTCAGTGTGTATCACAGGAAGAATTTAAGCATGTTAAAAGTCAACAATAGTGGCTCCTGAAGAGGTAAATGGGAATGGCACCAGTTGTTATAAATGTGAAAGTATTTTATTCATTAAATGGTTATTCTTATTGACTCTGGCAAGAATTACAGTTACCACTGATAGACTCTTATATAAGCCATTTCTCTCTGTGGTCAACAAAGGGGAAATCCTGAGTTTTTAAATGGATATTGCAACTAAGCAACATGATATGGAGACAAATAACGTATAAAGGTTCAGTGGGTTTTTTTTTCTCTATGATTCCTTCTATTTGATTTTATCTATATAAAGACATTGCTGAAGGAATACTTTCTTAGCTGCCAAAATGGCTATTGAAAAATCATGGCTCTACTGGGAGAAAAATGTAGTGCTTTGCTAAAGCATTCA